AAATTTCCAGAACAATTGACATAATATACAGTAATCGTAGAAGATATGAACTTTTTATTTCGCTATTACTGTAATATTATGCATGTGTAAAATAAATGAGAATAAATTAAGATTAAGGAACAAGAAGAAAAATATATCTACGAACTGATAAGCAGCCACACATGTTGTTGGAAATATATCATATTTCTGAAATTTCGCAAGAAAAAATGTAAAAGAAGCAGCATGTAGCGGGGTCTTTTTATCTGTCCGTGAATTGACGAATCAGCAACTAGCGCGAACGCGCGATTTCCTGATAGAAAAGGAGTTTGTTACTCTAAAATTCTTCAGTGGAAACTTTTCGCTCGGTAGAGAACACAAGGGTCTGCAAGATACTGAAATAGAGGTGTTTCTCTCACTCACTACACCCACTTCGTCATCGACAAGTAGTCGTCAAAATTTTTAGCCAACACAAGTCATTTGCATTTTGTTATGTATTACTACAAGAATCCGGATAATTTGACTTTTACAAAGTAACAAGTCTGGAGAAATCCAGGAAAACTAAAGACATATGATCTTGACGTAAAACGTGAGAACTTCCCCCCCTCACCAACAAAAACAGTACGGATCCTTAGAGAACAATATATCCTAGTCGAAAAAAAAAAAAAACGTTACGAGGCTCAAATCAGATCCTTGGACTTCTCTTTGTTGATCGCCACTTTTGATTTTCTAGTCACTTCAATCAAATAAACATCGGACCAACTGCTTTATGATCTTCGACTTCCCGTCTTAACGCCCATAGCAAATATCAGTTTTACGTCCCCAGCTTTGCTTCAATATTTATGCTGCCTTGAATGCAATTATCAAAAAAGCAAAAGCAAAAAAAAAAAAAAGAAAAAAATATCATCCAACTGATTTACTTTCTTTTCACACTCTATTTAACGATTTTTACGTCAAGATATGATTCCTCAATTTGGCTAAATAACCTTTGTCTCTTTCTCAAGTTGGATAAGTGACCTTTGTCTATTTCTGAATTCGGGTAAATAACCTTATTCCACTCCATGATTTAAGTAAATAAGTTTTGATTATTTCTTAATTTGGGCAACTGACCTTTGTCTGCTTCTTAGTTTCTGTAAATAATCGTTGTTTTTTATTGTTTGCTTAAATGACCTTTATCTATTTTTAACTTGGGTAAATAACTTTTGTCTTTTTTGAATTTCTGGAAATAACCTATGTTCATTACTCAATTTGCGTCGATAATGTTTTCTATTTTTATTTGAAAACAATTTGAATTAATTTGATATTAAGCTAGTTAACAATTTCAATTAAATTGCTATTGGGCTAGTTAATTTGAACTAAATTGATATTAGGCTAGGAAACAATCTGAATTAAATTGATATTAGGCTCATTTACAATTTGAATTACATTTATATTAGGCTAGTTAACAATTTGAATTAAATTGATAGACTAGTTAACAATTTGAATTAAATTGGTATTAGGTTTGTTAACAAATTTAAGTAAATTGATATTAGGCTCGTTAACAATTTGAATTAAATTGATATTAGGCTAGTTAACAATTTGAATTAAATTGATATTAGGCTAGTTAACAATTTGAATTAAATTGATATTAGGCTAGTTAAACCGTTCATTTTGTTTTCTTCCTTATTGAATGTCATGAGTAACGTTTAGCATTAACTCATTTCATTAAAATATAATCGTTCTTAATTGAATTCCCACAACTCTAAAATTAGTATGCATTCTTATTGGTTGAGACAAAAGCTTTTTCTTTCCTTTTTTGTGATTAGAGGACATTAGGACGTTTTGTCTTAAAAACTTAAATCCACTTTTGATTCTTTGGCGTGTAAACAAATGACGTCACACATTAAGAAATTTACATTTGGATAGACATCGAGCAGATATGAATGTACGTGAGAAAATCATGGAAAATTGTAGTTTAAAAACAGTAAAATTGACCTTGCTAACCAAAACGCTCCTCTGTGGCTACATCGGTAAAAGCACGTCAGGCTATATGACTTTCCGTATAGGATACAGGTTCGATTCCTGTCGGAGGACGCATATTTTCTATGACAATTTCTCGGGCTTTCAGGCCGGTAAATGTTGTTAATACTGTTTGTTATAAACAGGGTATTTACTTCAATATCTGTATCTATAAAAAAGAATGTATTAACATAAAAATGTTTTAAAAAATAATTGCCGGACTTGGTCAATTTCACACACACACACACACACACACACATATATAAATATATATATATATATATATATATATATATATATATATATATATATATATATATATATGCTTACCGTCAAAAAGGATATAAGTCCGAAGCAGCAGATGAAATCAAAAGTATCAAACCGCCCAGAAGTAAGTTCCACTCAAATAGATTCTTCCCACGAACCACTGCTCGGCGAAACAGACTCCCGAGAGGATGCTTCCCCGATCATTACAATCTTAAACTGTTCAAGTCTAGAGCTAACCGTTTTCTCCTCCTATCCACATAAACTAACCCTTAAGTGGCCCCAGATCTTTGTGCCAGGGTGAACCTTACGTAAAAAGAGAGCGTTTATAAAGCACATCCTTTAGTTTTCTGTATATAACTTGGCCATAAAACTTCAGTGATATTGAATGGGGTCAGGTTTTGTACTTTTATAACTAGTAAATAACTTGACGAATAGAAAACCTAGTCACTTTGAGCTACGAGTGGTTTACAATATCTGATGTTACTGAGTTGTCAGCCATTATGTCCGACGATACTTGATGACGATAATCAAAGAATCCATGTTTTCGGCGTGATTTTGACAAAAGCGTAGGGTTCATATTTGTTGGTAAAGGAAGGAAGGAAGTTGGAGTTTGAAAAGGAAAGAAAGAAGTGAAGAATAATTGAAAAAGAAAGAAAAGGAAATAGACTAAGGTATAAAAAAATATGGCGTACAAGATCGATGGATGCCGAATTCAAAGAGAATAAGTGATTTTGTCACAGATGCTCTTAAAACAGAATAAGGTAAAAAGAGAGCAGGGCGATGGGTAAAGTTTGAGGGGGAAAAAGAGAGAACTAGAAAGAAGAAATAGAAAAGAAAAAATATGCAAAGAGAGAAGGAGGAAGGTAAATACTGAAACAACGAAACAAAAAAAAATCGAGAGAGATTGAGAGAAAGAGAGAGAGAGGGAGAGAGAGAAAGAGAGGGGGAGTTGATAAAGAAAAAACTTAAAAAGAAAGAGAATGTAAAATGAGGAACATTGAAAGAGAGAATGAGAGAGAGAGAGAGAGAGAGAGAGAGAGAGAAGTAACGAGGAAGAATTAAACTTCTTGTTAAAGAAATTCGGTGGAGAGAGAAGGAACGATAGAAAGGAAAGTGTATAGCTTAAGAGAGAGAGAAAGAGAGAGAGAGAGAGATAGAGAGAGAGACAGAGAAACCGAAAGTGAAAACATTTTAGTTGTAGAGCGAGACAGAAAGAATGAGAGAGAGAGAGAGAGAGAGAGAGAGAGAACAAAAACGAAAACTCTAGTGTAAGAAAGAAGGAAAAGGTGATTGCCTGAGAAGAAGGCGTAACAGGATAAGTGTGTGTGTGTGTGTGTGTGCCTGTGTGTGTGTGAGTGTGACAGAAAGAGGGAGAGAGAAAGAGAAAGAGAAGGAGTGGTTAAAAATAATTTGAAGAAAATTTGTAAAATATTGAGAGAGAAAGAGCAAAAAATTCAGAAGAATAGAAAATGGAATAATTTGCGAGTATAAAAGAAGGAAGGGAGGAAGAAAGAAAGAAAGAATGAAAGGAAGGAAGGAAGGAAGAAAGGAAGAAAGGAAGGAAGAAAGAAAGAATGAAAGGAAGGAAGGAAGGAAGGAAGAAAGGAAGAAAGAAAGAAAGGAAGGAAGGAATGAAGAAAGGAAGAAAGAATGAAAGGAAGGAAGGAAGAAAGAAAGAAAGAAAGAAAGAAAGAAAGAAAGGAAAAATGGAAGGAAGGAAGGTAAGAAGAAAGACGGAAGGAAAGAAAGAAAGAAAGAAAGAAAGAAAGAAAGAAAGAAAGAAAGAAAGGGAGGAAGGAAGAAAGAAAGAAAGGAAGGAAGAAAGAAAGAAAGAAAGAAAGAAAGGAAGGAAGAAAGAAAGAAAGAAGGAAAGAAGGAAGGAAGGAAGGAAGAAAGAATGAAAGGAAGGAAGGAAAGAAGGAAGGAAGGGAGAAAGAAGGAAGGAAGGAAAAACGAAAGAAAGGAAAAAGAAAGAAGTAACATTGAAACAGGGGAGAACACACAAAATAAAAAAAATAAATGGATAAAGAAAGAAAGAAGTAGTAATGCAACAGAGAAGAAAGAAAGAAAAAGAAGCAAAATTGGAACAGTAAAACAGATAAAATGAATAAATAAATGAAGAAAGAAAGAAAGAAAAAAAGTAGAAATGAAACATGTAGAAATAAAAAAAGAATGAAAGAAAGAAGGAAAGAAAGAAATTTTATTAAGATAAAATAAAAAGGAAAGTGAAAAATGAAGAAGCAAAAAAGAAGGGGAAAAGAAGAAATAAAGAACGATCTGGAAATGAAAGAAAAGTAAAAAGCGAGCAAACGACAAATAAAGAGAGAAAACATCCTGTGCGAGAAAAAGGATGGTAAGAATTTAAGGAGGAACAAATTAATTCATTTTAATTCAGTTATTTTTGAAAAAGCCAACGACCTTCTTATTTGTATAAAGATTTGGAACGCCAACTCATAAAATCATTTTAGAAACTGAATATGTGATTCTCAAGAAACAATGTTTGAGATTTGCTTGCTAAATTTGAACGGTAAATTATACTTTTAGATAATCTTAAAAAGTCGTAATGACAAAAACGGTAGTTAGGAAAAATTCAAAACTTGAAATCATGTAATTTGAAAACTATCAATCTAATTAAACAACAAAAAAGACAAGTTGCTTTTTTTCTCTCGTCATCGTTTGAGGACTATTGACTTCTTTCTAATATGGCGGATTTCAATCTTGATTGGATAACAGATGCCGAGAAGAACGATAAGCAGAAATTAAAAATAAGGAGAAGGGTGGCAGTAGAAGGAGTGTGTGGGCGAAAAGAATGAAAGTGAATGGCAAGAGTGAAAGAAATGAATACAGTATGAAATAAATAAAGAATAAAAGAGCGAAAATGTGAGAGAGAGGGGGGTATGTACGTTAAGAATAAAAAAGAAAGAAAGAATAAAAAAGAAAGAAAGAATAAAAAAGAAAGAAAGAAAGAAAGGAAGGAAGGAAAGAAGAAAGAAAGAAAGAAAGAAAGAAAGGAAGGAAGGAAGGGAGGAAGGAAGGAAAGAAAGGAGGGAAGGAAGGAAGAAAGAAGGAAGGAAGGAAGGAAGGAAGGAAGGAAAGAAAAAGGAAAGGAAGGAAGAAGAAGGAAGGAAGGAAAGAAGAAAGAAAGAAAGAAAGAAAGAAAGAAAGGAAGAAAGTAAGGAAGGAAGGAAGAAAGAAAGAAAGAAAGAAAGAAAGAAGAAAGAAAGAAAGAAAGAAAGAAAGGAAGGAAGAAAGTAAGGAAGGAAGGAAGGAAAGAAAGAAAGAAAGAAAGAAAAACTATATCCTGAGAGAGAGAGAGAAAGAGAGAGAGAGAGAGAGAGAGAGAGAGAAAATAAGATAAATGAGAAAGTGATAAAAAAAGAAGCAAAAATAAATAACTTCAGAGACAGAGAGAAAAAATGTCTATGTGTGTGTGTGTTTGTGTGTGTGAGTAAGAGAGAGAGAGAGAGAGAGAGAGAGGAAAAATAAAAGAGTAAATAGAGAAGTACAAAAGCTGACAGCAGCCTAAAGAGAAAGAAAGATTTAAGAAAGAGAGTGAAAGAGAGAAAGAGAGAGAGAGAGAGAGAGAGAGTGAAAGAGAGAGAGAGTGAAAGAGAGAGATGTAGAGAGGTGGGTGTAGAACGAAAGAGAAACATAACAATTATGAGAGAGGGATTCCGAGAAAAAGAGAGAAATAAATGATATCATAAGGGATAGAAAATTATAAAAGATAGCCTAAGAAGAAATAATCAAATGACTGACAACAGGAAATAACGATAAAAACAAGTAATGCAGAAAGAAAGAAAGAAAGAAAGAAAGAAAGAAAGAAAGAAAGAAGGAAAAAACAGAAGAGATCGCTTGAAGAAAGCGAGAAAACTGAAAGTAAACAAAAAATGTCGGAGAAGTGGAATAATTTAAGGAGGAAGCAAAAAGGCCGAAATGGAGAAGAAATGGCTGAAACAGTATGAGTAGAAAAGCTGATTTTTCGTTTGGAAGAGTTCGTTGCGTTGAGCTCTGTGCACGCAGCATCCGAGATGAAAAACAAAATGCTTTACAATCTGGAATTCACAATGGTTAGTTTAGTCTCGGTCATGCGAACAGCCATGCGCAGAGTGCATCGATTGGCGGGAAATTGACCGTTAGAAACAAATTTGCACATAGCAGGCAGAATGAACAAAGCTTGGAGAGAGAGAGAGAGAGAGAAAGAGAAAGAGAAAGAGAGAGAGAGTGTTAGACATTGATATGGAGCGATTAATTAAAAGGTTAAAAAACAGAAAACAAAACTCAGATAGATAGATAGATAGATAGATAGATAGATAGATAGATAGATAGATAGATAGATAGATAAAGAAAGATGGCGAGGAGATGAATCTGCGAGGAGTAGAAGGAAAATGGGAAAAGAAGAGAAATATCCCTCAGAGTGTGTGTGTGTGTGTGTGTGTGTGTGTGTGTGTGTGTGTGTGTGTGTGTGTGTGTGTGAGAGAGAGAGAGGGAGAGAGAAAGAGAGAGAGAAAGATGGCGAGGAGATAAATCTGCGGGGAGTAGAAGGAAAATGGGAAAAGAACAAGAGAAATATCCCTCAGAGTGAGAGAGAGAGAGAGAGAGAGAGGGGGAGAGATGAGAGAGAGAAATATGAGGAGATAAATCTGCAGGGAGTAGAAGGAAAAAGAATGGGTAAAGAACAGAGAGAGAGAATCCCTCAGAGTAGAGAGAGAGAAGAGAGAAAAGAAGAGAGAGGGAGAGAGAAAGAGATACAGAAAGATGGAAATAAATCCTAGAAGGAAAATGAGAAAAGAACAAGAGAAATATCCCTCAGAGAGAGTGAGAGAGAGAGAGAGTATGAGAATGGAAGATAAAGTTTAAAAAGAGAGACGAAAGGAAGAAATTAGAAAGAGTAGGAGAAGATAAAGAAAGGAAAGAGAGGACGAAGCTAAATAGAATCCGAGTGTGAAATGAAATGGAGAGAGACAGAACAGAGAGGTGTGAGGAAGCATGAATGAAAAGAAAGAGAGTGAACTTAAGAAACAGAGAGAGGGAGAAATTGAAAGTGTATGTAACAATGAAGAGAGTCCAAGAGAGAAATGACAAGAGAGATAGAGAGAGGGGTAGAGAGATAAAGAAGAGGCTGAAAGGGGGAAATGGGAGCGATAAAGAAGTGGCTGAAACATGGAAAGAGGAAACGGGAGAGAAAAATAGATAAAAAAAAAGTGGCTTAAATTAATGAAAACAGCAAATGAAAGAGAGAGATAAATAAGTGTCGGAAAGAATGAAATGAGTTAAAAGATGGTGACATAATGCAAAGAAGAACTGAAAGAGAGAGAGAGAGAGAGATAAAAAAGTGGCTGAAATGAGAGAGATAGAGAAGTGTCGGAAAGAATGAAAAGTAAAAAGGAGAGAGAGAAGGAGAGAGAGATAAAAAATGGCTGAAAAAATGAAAAGATGAAATGAGATATATACAAAAAAGTGGCTGAAAGAATTAAAAGAGGAAATGACAGAAGGGGAGAGATAAAGAAGTGAAAGATTGAAAAGGGTAAATAAGAGGAGAGAGAAATAAGGTTCGCACTATCTGCTTAAATGTATTTCAAATCCTGTTGGGATATTTAATACTTAATATGTCTTATAGGATAAAAAAAAGTGGCTGAAAGAATGAAAAGAGGACATAAGAGGAGGAGAGAGAAATTAGGTTCGCACAATGTGCTTAAATGCATTTCAAATGCTGTTGGGATGTTTAATGCTTAATATGTCTTATAGGATAAAAAAAGTGGCTGAAAGAATGAAAAAAGGACATAAGAGGAGAAGAGAGAAATTAGGTTCGCACAATGTGCTTAAATGCATTTCAAATGCTGTTGGGATGTTTAATGCTTAATATGTCTTATAGGATAAAAAAAGTGGCTGAAAGAATGAAAAAAGGACATAAGAGGAGGAGAGAGAAATTAGGTTCGCACAATGTGCTTAAATGCATTTCAAATGCTGTTGGGATATTTTTGCCTAATATGTTTTATTGGATAAAAAAAATCACAATGAATCCTCAAATAGGTAAACATGTTGGGTTTATTCTAAATTCAAAAATGTACACATATGTTCAGTCTAAGGAGTCACACGATAAATACAGATCCGGTTTGTGCTGGTCAAAACGGTAGATGCAAGTTCAGATTACCCGAGAGTCAAAACGGTAGACATAGGTTTGGTTTATACAAGGGTGGGAGTGAAAAAGATAAATAAAGGTTTATTTTACAATAGATTAAAAAAAGTAGATATTTAAAAATCGGTATCACCCCATGCAAGGCAGTAAAGCCACTAAGACACGAGTGATTACTGTGTGTGGAAACATTACTAAAGAAGGAAAACAAAAAAGAGTAACCAGGAGGACAGTAGATAGCGACTGAGTTTGCATTTAAATATTTGAAGATAAAAGTTGGCTGTAAAGCACGGAGGGTGTTCTACAAGCGAGAAGTGCGAGAAAAAGAAAATGTTAGCATAGAACTTACGGTTACATCTAACCAACTCAACTGTAAATTGGTGAGATTTCGATGCCAGTCTAACACTGCGCTTAAATTCATAAAGTCTAGGTACCATAGCGAAGAGTGATATTTATTTGTAATTTATTTACAAAATGTTGCACAAAGCCAGAATGGAGAAAATTAACTGTCTTAACTTTAAACTTAGCTAGCCACAAACACTGACCCAAACATATAACTATATTCCTTACTCCATGACAACGCATTCTTACTTACCTTTCTTACTACATCCAACATAATACCTCATTGTCTCTATGAAAATCCTAACTAGTCCCCATATGTACAATTCATTGTCAGTTGGGGGGGGGCAAAAATGAAAAACTAGCCCCAATGAGTCTTTACAATATGAATACAAATCTATTTACAAGAAACTAAGCAAAATAATGGTAGTAATACCCCCCGACACGCACAATCCTTACCGAGGAGCGATATTTATTTGTAATTTATTTACAAAATGTGGCACAAGGCCAAAATGGGGAATGGAGAAAAGAACGGTTTCCTTCTGTCTTAACTTTAATCTTAGCTAGCCACAAACACTGACCCAAAACATACCACAATATTCCTTACACCAAAACAATGCATTCTTACTTACCTTTCTTGCTACATTCACCGTAATACCACATTGTCTCTATGAAAATCCTAAATAGTCCCCATATGTACAATTCATTGTCTGTGGTGGTGGAGAAATAAAAGAACAATTTTAAAACTATTGCCAGGGAGTATTTACAATATAAAACAAAACAATTTACAAGTAACTAAACAAAATAATGTTAGTAATACCCACCCAATCCTTAGTGAAGAACTCATCCTATCATCCTAACAATTACCATGAAAATACTTATAAAAAAGATATAGAAAGGCAACGTTTTACCGGTGGGAAAGTAACTGAAGCCGAGCCGCCAGATCAGGACCAATAATATTGCTGATTCTTCTTTGAATCTTATCACATGGAATTTCTAATTGTGGGCCTGAAATTTTGTTTACATCAAAAACGGGTCACAACGGAGAAACAGTTGAGAAACACTGCTCTAAATTAGTGGCTCTCAACGTAGACCTTTTGTCCTAAAAGTGGGCAGGAGAAATATGTTAAATGGTCCTGAAGACACCAGGAGCAGTGTAGTCATTAGCCAGGATTTATATTTTTTACTACATTTTGCTTTTGTAAATAAAATGTATGACTCTTTTTTGGGGAGATGGGGGGTTAATCGGTATCGCCCCAAGCAAAGCAGTAAAGACACTAAAACGCAAGGGGGGGTTACAGGGTGTGGAAGAATTAGGAACGGAAACATTAATGAACAGGAAGAGAAAAGAGTAATCAAGAAACAGTAGAAAGCGATTGACATTGCATTTAAATTTTTGAAAATTAAAGTTGACTAGAAAGCATGGAGAAGTGCGAGAGAAGAAACTGTTAGCATAGAACTTACGGCTACATCTAGCTAGCTCAACTGTAAATTTGTGAGATTATGACGCCGGTCTAGTAATGAGCTTAAATTTAAAAAGTCTAGGTACCATAGTGAAGAGCTCATCCGAACAATTATCATGCAATTATTTATATAAAAAGACACAGAAAGGCAACGTTATACTGGTGGGTAAGTGACTGAGGCCGAGCCACCAGATCAGGACCATTAAAATTGCTGATTCTTCTTTAGATTTTATGAATCGCTCTAGACATATGTCCGGCTTGTACTAGAGGTCAAGGGTCCGATTTATACTTAATCCAAATGGGTAAGTATAGTAACGTTCATATTTGAGTTTGCAAATATCCACCAGTAAAATGCCCTCCACCTTTTTGGTTGGAGCCTTACCTCTATGCAGTCGGAGTATCCTAAGCCCCAACCGACATAGCAGAAGACAGAAAGAGGGGGGTTTACAACAACTAGATCCAATGAGATTAAATAAACGGTTCAGTTCGGAATTCCCTCTAGGCTAACCAGATCGATATAAACTGAGGAAGGCCGGAAGACACAACGACCGAAACGTTGTGACAAAAACAACAAAGATGAGAACAACAGTCTCAATAAGAATAGTGTAAATAATTTTGTTTCATTTTATACACACCAAAGTTCAATCAACCCATCACAGATAGTTCTTGACCCAAACATAAAATTGTTGATGCCTCGACGCTGCTTTTAGTGTACAAGATACTGCTTTTTTCAAGTCTGTACTCCAACCATCATCTGGGCTATCAATGGTAGTTCAGCTCTATGCCGTAAACGAAAAAGTACAAAAACAATTTTCACAATATTGCAGACGTTTCACCTTGTGTCTGGCATTCAAAGGTGACCGAATATCCATTTTTAACACATTTCGCAAAATGGCGGAGAATTCAGCTTTGAAATGATTTTGACACTTCCTCGAATATAGTTTTGCTGCTCAAAGCTATTTTCTCTGACAATATGCTTAATTCGAGACACTACTCTCTTATTATCCGAGAATTACCGTTATCGGAACTTCTAGTCAATGCACCACTATCATCAGCGTATTACTTGACTCCTCCATTGTCCCTGTTAAGTATTTTTGCTATTTCAAGGACTACACTGCCTTTTCCAAGTTGTGCAATAATAACATTCTTCTCAGCCCGCGATAAATCACTTTCACAAGCCATAATTTAATAACTTTGCAGTCGTTACCTAATAGCTTGGCACTTTTAAAATGCAATTCTATAGCAAAAATAGCTCACCGTTTATTTTCTAGTGCAAAGAATGTCTTCGTTTTTGATACTTTGGCGCAGGTCAGTCTTGCCAATGTTTATATGAAATAAGTTTTTTCGTCTTTTATGAAAATAAATTTACAACCAAATAAACCTTTTGCATATTAATTTTGCTCGCAATTTATAGAACTGAGATGGTTTGGTTGTTCGCTTAGAAAGTCAAATCTGTTTCATGGAGACGTCACAAATTTGGTATGACTACTTATTGAGCAATGGTGCTTAACATAAATTTTTTGCCGCTTACAGCCATATGGTTCCTTTTTTAATTGTGCGATGTAAAGCTAAAAAGTGTCGTTATTAATACGCGGAAAATTATTGTGATATATTTTTGACTAAATTTCACCCAATAGAAGGATCGAGAATTGTCAGCGATTGACCAGTGTCTCGAGGGAGGGGTATTCTTACAGGGATGGGTTGTCTTTGTCTGGGTTTTGAATATAAGTCAAAAACGATGCGAATTCAACAGAGTACCTCCAGAATTCTGAAGCGTTGATACATCTCCCACACCCAGGTTAGCCACCGGCTAATACCATCCGCGGAGGGACTTTGTGTCAACGTGACATATGCGTTTCTGCTAAGTAATTCCTGCTACTGTCTCTTAGAATACAAGCTGACACCCTTCTCTCCTACTAAAACGAATCTGGGTTTTGAATATAAGTAAAAAAAAACATGCGAATTCAACAGTGTACCTCCAGAATTCTGACGCGTCGATACACCACCCACACCCAGGTTAGAGACTGGCTAATACCATCCGTGGAGGGACTCTGAGCCAACTTGCGACATGTGTTTCTGTTAAGTCATTCCTACTACACCCTTCTCTTCTAATAAAACGAATCGGGGTTTTGAATAAAAGTAAAAAAAAAAAAATGCGAATTCAACAGTGTACCTCCAGAATTCTGAAGCGTCGATACACCTCCCACACCCAGGTTAGAGACCGGGCTAATACCATCCGTGGAAGGATTGTGAGCCAACTTGCGACATGCGTTTCTGTTAAGTCATTCCTACTACTGTCTCTTAGAATCCAAGCTGATACCCTTCTCTTCTAATAAAACGAATAACAAAAGGAAATGTTCCTTTTCCCTGATACCGTTTTATGTAGTAGTGCGGGGATCCAGGGATAAAAGAGAAAAAGAAAATGATACATGAAGACTGAGGTATATAAGTTATAAGTGAAATTAACCGTATGAAATAGAGATTATGATTATTGACTTTAAGAGGTTACGATTAAAATGTTCAAGGAAGCACACATGTAGAATTTCATAAAGTCGTAGCTTTTTAGGGGAAAAACTGTTTAATAGAACTCACATTTTATATATGGTACACGTGGGTGTGGAGGAAATGAGGGTGGTTCAACGCTGTGGAAGTTGCACGAGTGTCCTCACAGTAAAAGTGGAATTGGTTTCATCGAACTATTTGTCAAGGAAATAGCAACAGAGTAGCACGGAGCTTGCAACGTTCCGTCTGTGGGGAAAGAGGTGGT